GCTGTGGCGGCCGCCCGGACGGCGGCTTCCGCCCCTCGCGGGTGGTGGTGGTGGCCAAAACCACCCGGTACGAGTTCGAGCAGCAGCGGTACCGCTACGCGGAGCTCTCGGAGGAGGACCTGAAGCAGCTGGTGGGTCCCGGCGTCCCCGCCGGTGTGCGCCGGCCGAGGCCGTGGGCGGCGGCTGCGGGTCCTCCCGGCTGCCCTCGGCCCTGCGCCCCGCCGCGCCGTCTGACCTCGCCGCCCCCGCGGCTTTTCGGTGCCCTGGCGCTCGTGTTTGGGGGCGATCCGTGTCAGCGCCGAGACCCGCACCCCAACCCCCCGCAGGGGCGCCCCAGGCAGAGGGGCTGCTGTGTGGCCCCCCGCGAGGTGACACGGACTTGGGGTTCACTCGTGCCCTGGCCACCGCTAGGTCCCCGAGGTTGAGAATAGCGACTGCACTCCAGGAAAGCTGGGCGGGTGGCCGGGGGCGTGGGCGCCTTGGGAACGACACCCCCAGTCAGCCCCAGGCGGGAGGGTCGGGGGGCGCCGTTGCGGGCTGCGGAAAGCGGCGCGGACACACCCCCTTGCGCCGAGCCGCGGCGAGGCCTGGGACCCCGGGGAAGCCCTGGGCTGGGTAACTTCTGCGTGGTGGTGGGATGTGGTCTTCAGCTGGGGTGTACAGTTCGTTTCAAAAGCACAGGTGTCTGCTACTGGGAGTGGCAGGGGAGGAAATCTGACTTGAATGGGTGTGTTTATAAAGGTCAGACAGCGGGCAAGTAGGCCAGGTAATGGGTGAAATAAAGAGCTTGTGTCTCTTCTGTAGCTAGCAGTGCGACACAATTTGCTGTGCTGACATTTTTATGAAGTATATAAAGCCTGTGTGTGTGTGTGTGTGTGTATGCGCGCGCGGGCGCGCGCGCGCTGGAGTTAAATAGCCCTCCGTGTCCTTTTCATTTATCTTTTATGATGCTGGGATTAAACCCAGGGACTTGAGCGTGCTAGGCGTGTGCTCTGCCACTGACCTCCACCCCCCGCCTCCCATGCCCTTTTGAAAAATTTCAAGACAGGGTCTTGCTGAGCTGCCCTGGATGACCTCAAACTTGGGATAATTGTGCCTTAGCCTACCAAGTAGCTGGGATTACAGGTGTGTGCCTCCCTCGTTTGACTTTAAAATTTTGCTTCCGTGTCCCTAGTCGTCAGTTTTAGGAAATGGAGACTGAGCTATGCTGTCAGGAACACTGTATCTTAAAAAATGTCCATCAGGAAAATGTTTTTTTTTTTCTTTCATCAGGAATCTGTTAATTGTTGGCACTTTGCGCCAAAGCCTTTGGAACTAATTGCATAGTACCATTACGTTAGGGGTAGGCTGCCTGTTCTAAACACCTGCTGTCCTTTGTAATCTGCACTTTTATGGAGACATCAAAATGAAATTGTAAATCTGCCTAAGTGCTGAGTCTTGTTACCGTTAAACCTTTTGATTCTTTATAGGTTTATTGAAGAGGGCCTGTTCCTTCACCTGGTGAGAGTCTAGGTAGAGATTTGTTCTCTCTCCTTTTCCTGAACGTTTTCGGTAGTAGATTATAGAACGCACCTGCAATATTTAGAGTAAATGGACAGTTTAAATAGGAGGTTAGAGGCACCTGGGTTAAGTGAGTGAAATTAGTCAAAGTGGAAGTACATTGTTTTTATTTTGGGAAGAGGATGTGTCCTTTGTATTGTACTCTTAATTTTGCAGGGTCCAAATTTTAGAAATTGTTAAATGCCATGTATACGTAAATACGTTCTTCATACGATTTTAGCACAACCTCTCACAGCAATTTGAAGCAGTACACCCGAAAAAAAATTAAACAACACAAAAAACAGTACACGCAAATTGGCATGTTCAGTTTGTGGGACTGGGGTCAGGAGCGCCAGGCTGTGGTTGTGGTAGATATCCTATGTTTTTAATGTCTTTGGAGTCCTGGGTGAAAATGAAACTTTTTCTGTAGTAGTGTCAGCTTTCAGAGTGCTTTCACCGAGTGAAATGGTAGGATTAGGCCAGATCCATTGTAGTGCTGGCATTAAAATTTTTTTCAAGGCTCTGAAAAACAGGTGGTTTTGAATTGGGATTAACGGACCTCTAAACTAGATTATCACTAATAAAACACTTATAAAATGTAGGGAAAAAATCAATATTTTAAAAAATCTAACTACCTAGTGTACCCTGAGTTGAGAAATTACTTAATAGGTAAATGTTTGTCTTTTGCTCCGCAATGCTGTTTGGAATTCAAAAGCTTTGAAGTGAACCTACTAAAATGAAAAAAATATATATACACAATTTTGTAATTGCCAGGTAGTAGATAGTTTTTTTTTTTTTTTTTTTTTTTTTTTTTTTTTTGTAGTGATACTATTAGAATTTTGTTGGATTAGTTCCTTAATGATAGGAATTTATTTTATATTTATATTAAGGCCAGTACTCACAGTGCAGTAGGAAACAGGTCAAAGAATACTGGGGTATATGAAGTTGTTCTAGAAGGAAAATTCTGTAATGGGAGTGGTAAGGGCATAAATGTTGTTTGGCTGCATTGTTGGGGTAAAAAACGTGAGCCATATGAACTGGGTAAAAAAGAAAAGGGCTAGGTTCTTGAGTTTTCTGGTACCAGGCTGCTTTGTGTATAGTGTCATGGTAACTTGGTTTTGTATCAAAGTATTCTCTTTTGTTTGGTAGTGGCTCTTTTCTTTCTTACTTTACTTTTCTTTCTTTCTTTCATGCAAAATAGGTCTCTATTAGATGCTTGTTAAAATGCAAATGAAAGATGAGGGACACAGTGCCAATATAGTTTTGTACCCTGAAGTGTCATGGTTATCTAACTTTGTAGAAATGCAATCATTGATAGGAAATACCTTTTAGGTGATAAAGCCTTATACAGAATAGGATTATGTCTGTGAAGCTGGCTGAAAGTTTTGACTTTCAATTACTTTTTTTGTGTGTTTTTTTGAGACAGGGTTTCCTTATGTAGTTCAGGTTGGCCTTGAATGCACTATGTAGCCTGGGCCTCTGGGTGATCCTTCTGCCTAAGCCTCCTGAATGCTGGGAATAGAGGCATAGGCCACTATACCTGGCTTCAATTACTCTTTTCATACAGATTGTGGGTTACACTGCTTTATTTTGAAGTCTTGCCTTGTCCCCCAATTGATTGATCAGTGACTTGTCTTGTTTTTTTTTTTTTTTTTTTTTTTT